CTGTTGTTCGTCTTCGCGCGCATGGGCTGTAATGCCCCATTGTCGTCGCAGAAACGAAATCCTACGTTCGCATTACTAACGGCTCCCAAAGAAATACTGCATAAAATTAACTTCTTTCCTGAGTAGTTCAAGTCCACGGACATCCCCGTAACGTCCACCCAAGATCCCTGGTTGTATTTTTTCTCGCCTGTGTAAGTCGTATAAACGCAATCTACTCCAGCTACGTAGGGGTTGTTCATCGCCATATATAATAGCTCAGACCAATGCTTGTGGTGGCTAGGCCGGCTTTTAGTAAGTTATGGTCATATTCCTCAGGTATCGTAGGCAGGACCTTCTTCTTGATTACGTTCTTTGGTTTCCCTGCAGGATTCTCTACGTGCTCCTTCTTTGGCTTCTCCACGAAATGGGGAATGTTCCTAAGAGTGTCAGAGTTCACGTCATTTACCCCAAACTTCATATCCTTAGTAGCTCGTTGAAGTTTGTTGTTGTAACCCACGACGGAATCGGCGTTGATGACCAAATTACTTGGCATTAGCCAACAACCAGGCGACAAGGCGTAATCTAGCCTCACTTTAGATTGCTGCACCGCAAGTTGATATCTTTGAACTGACTTAGAAATCTCATTCTCGATAACAGCGCTTTCGAAGAGGACAAGGAATACTTGTTGCGTTTCCTGTGACGCACCACTGGCATCTACGATGGGGCTGCGAGTGCTAACCTGTGCCCCTAGAATGCAGTAGACAAAGGCTTCGATGCTTCGATTAATCCTTGCTAGGTTTTTCAGTCCAATGCCCTTCGCGGCAAAGAAAGGCGCCCATGGATATGTCTGCTTGCTTTCTATGAAGTAGATCAGATTACCCTTTGTTCCGCTGCCTCCTAAGTCGGAGAATTCGTAGGAACTGGGATACCCCATACCCGGCGTTTCTATGCTGGCACCGACGTAGGAGGCATACGTATATGTTTCTCCTAAACCATGGGCGGCGCCCTCCTTATTGCGGAAGTCGGGGTCGTGGAGATGGAACTCGTTCTTTAGTCGCTCCCATGCTACTTTATCATATTTGTTATCCATCGCGTCGAATATCTCATCACCGGGCAGCGGCGCATCCAACTCCTTTAAAAGACGTCGCATGGTAAAGGCAACGTGAAATCGTAGGAAAGGAATATGGAACATATCCGCGGCTATACCACATCCTTTAGTAGCAGCCCAGACTGCAAAGTTCAACTGCTGCGGCCAATACCGCATGTTGGGACCTGACAACCATTCTCTAGATTCTTTCCCTGAGTTATGTTTCATGGCAGTTTCTCTAAAGATGTCTCTGACCTTTGTCTTGAAAGTCGTAGGACCCACGGGAATCTCCAAAGAGGTAACCATCTTAGCAAAGTCTTCCGCATCTTTGTTGTCGTAAAATGGGTAATTCTGGGTTGCCGGTAATAGATTCTCTGGGAAATTAGGTTGCCTTTCTTTATGCTCGGGTTTTGGT